ATGTTATAAAGTGCATGCCACAAAAATCTTGTATACTTGAAATTTCGAAGGTCAACTCTGCTACGACGACACCTTTAACAAATTTACTACGATGACGCGAATCTTATACAAATTCAGTTTTTGGGGTTTATAAAAGCCTACGACGCTACCGGGTTATTTTCAACGGTATTTACTAAACTCTTGATTTTCGTTTATCATTCATTGTCTCTCTCTCTCTCTCTCTCTCTCTCTCTCTCTTTTTTTTTTTTTTTTTTTTATTAAATAAAACACTCAAAGTTTCATTGAAAATTGCTTACAAGATGTAAGAAAGCGAATGATTTGGTGTCTTTTGAATAACATTAGAGTTCTGTGGTTTATTATGTAGACACAACGTATATATACATACACATTCATTAATACTTGCATTTACGCTTTCGGTCGCTTTGTTCCATCCATGGTGTATACAATAGTAAATTATTTATTAATTTTATAGTATCAACGATTAAAAACTATTTGTTAATAGACCAAATATACATATAATTTTATACATATATACATGCACTTATCCAATGTATAGAAAGTTGGGAAGTCAAATTAGCATTTCTTAGTTTCGCGTGATAATATAAATTATCTATAATTGCTTTATATTATAACCTTCACAAAAATGTCAAATTCATTACAATAAATTGCTAATTGTCTTTCACATATTACATTCGAGATGCTGCTATTTAAAAATTTTTCCCCTCAAGTTTTTGTGCTTCTTACGTAATTTCTTTATACTTTGTATAACATTCGGGACGGGGCTTGCAGAAATGGTGGGAAATCGTTCAATTTTCCAGTTCATCCGGTTAGTTTTTCGTTAAATGAAATTTTCCATACATCATAATGTATTGTTACTTTGCATTCTGATTTACTCAATCATCATTATTTTTATTCCGATAATATAAATCTTTTGTGCTGTTATAATGAAAAATAATATAAATGTTATGCTAATTAAGTTGCGAATATCCTTGAAATGTATTTTTTAATTTCATAAATTTAAGATTTTACCAGTATTGATAAGAAGTCGTTTAAAGCCAGAAAATTTTAGTCCGTGTTAATTCTACAAATAACTCAACATTAATATATGCCATTAAATTTTATAGCCAATTGCACTAATTTATAATACTAAATATAGTAAAATAAATTAACAGTTATTAGTTAGTATATTAAAAATACAATATAATACATTGATATATTTCTTTCTTAATATAAATTAATATTTTGTTGTCGTTACAAAGCCTATATCGTTTTCATTAAAAAGTTATATAAGTGAATTATAATATCATAGAAAATTTAATATTTTCATGTAATTTAAATATTTTAATGTGCCAATGTTACACATATAATACTTTCGTGTTTGGAAAATTGATGTTTTCACTGAGCTCATTAGCTAATTTTTTCATCTTAGACAATTATTTATAGAATAAATTTGGGATCATCTCACGAGTTGAAGGGCCACAATACATCGATATTTATTAAAAATTACCCTTTATTTAATCCTTCGATATAAATAGTTTTCTTCCTTTAATTAATGCGATAAAACAAAATTTTCAACAATTTCCACATCGTTAATTATATTCTTTATTTTAAAGCTGATATGCACTCATTAATATATGAATTAAACGAGAAAACTTTTCTTTCTTTGCTGTTTTTGTTTTTTTTTTGTTTTTGTTTTTTGTTTTTGTTTTTTGTTTTTGTTTTTTAAATTGAGCATAAATTAATGTATATATATTTTAGTATTTAAAATGCAAATTTACAATTGTTACAATTTATTATTGGGCTTCCAAACATTATTTTAGAAATATATCCGCTTAATTTTTTTATTATCACTTAAATAATTTTTTTTGTTAAGCTCTTGCATCATTCTTACGACGAGCTTTATTTTTCACTTACATTGATTTATAAGAAGTAATTATTTTTCTGTCGGTGTACAAAATCGCAATGTAAAAATTCTATATATTGTAAATTCATACATGGTCATTATATTCGTTTTGTAAAAGATTTCCCAGTGTTTTTTTACGATCATACACAGCACTGTTATTGTTTTGTTTTATCTATTTCACGTATTTTTTTTTTTATCTTTCCGTTGTTTCCTAAATATTCTCTATATAATGCATTAACGAAAGAAAGTGCCGAAGAAAGAGTCATCTTAAATTTTACTATAAAGTTTTTATACGAAATGCTGTTAAATATATGTTCAATTAAAAAATCTTTTTTTTATATATTTAAAGTAACACTTTTGCCATTATCCATTTAGGTGTATAAGCAATGTTAATGAATATATTTCATAAGCATATAAAAGAAGTTTTCTATAAAAGTTTAGATTTTCATTTGAGAAATAAATATTGGAGATTACTCCATTACTATACATTGTGGAAATATATATTATTAAAAAAAATATATTAACATTTTCCAGCTATAGAAAATATTAGTAATAATATCAATAATAATTTTAGATTAGTTAAATTTGTGTGACATAAGATCGTGTGTGCGCGCGCGCGCGCGCGTGTGTGTGTGTGTGTGTGGGTAAGGGTGTGTAAGCGCGCGCGTTTATTTTTGTATGTGTGTTGAGATGCATTTTGCTAATTATAATTAGATTTTTATATCTGAATATTATTTAATGAATTAATATTTGATTATATGTACATTGCAATTTGTTTCGTATTTAGAAAATTGAAAATTTATAAGTTTCAAATACATTGTATTTTTATATTAATAAACATTGAAAATTTTTATTTATTTTTTGTTTTTTTTTTTTTATTATTATTTTTTTTTCCGAGAAAAGGCTCTATTCGGCATCTTTCTTTTTTATATTTTGAAAGTATAGTTTTTATTATATAATCGTAAAGATGAAAGTAAACTGTTTTTTCTAAATTATAAAGTAGCTCCAAGTCATTTACAAAGTCAACGCTATCGTTATTAATTTTATTATTTGTCTCCATGTCTATTTCAATCTTATTAAATAGTATTTATTTGTGCATTTCTTGTGCTAATCATCAAATACAGAAAATGAAATTATTTGCCTTTATCATTAACAGACAAATATTAATTCGAGGGGCAGAAAAATGTGTAACTCAATTTCGGAGTGAACAATCTTAAACGAATTGTAATTAAAATTTTAATTTACATTTCCTCTCACTTCTTCGTGTATTCAAATTATTTTCAAATATGACAAATCTTATTTAGAACATATTTTAAAGTAAAATCGATAATACGAGCATATTTTATCATTTATAAAATTATTAAAAAATTAATATATTTACAATGTATTTACAACATAATTATTTACAATTAAAAGAAATAATAATTTTATTTATATAAGTTATTATAATATTAAAGGAACTCTTCATATTTAAATCATATATTTTAACATTATTTATACTTGAAGAAACGTGAATTTTATTATTTGAAAGAATGTTGATATTTTGATATTTTAGAGACTGAGCATGTTAATTTTTTATTATCTTTAAAGTTTTATCTTTGAAGTGGAAAACTGTATTACGAAGTTCACAAAATCATTACAGCAATTACTACATTAGAATAATAATGCATCATAATGCTATCGCATATATCCACTTCGAAATTGCTTTACAAAGTTTTCACTTCTATTATTTAATACTTTGCCGAATATTTTTATTTTTTTTTTTTTTTGTTGAAGAATATACATTTCTTCTTAAAAGTACTGAAACTCGTACTCCTAAGTATATATTGTACGAGATTTTTCATAATTGTGGAATGGGGCTGGGGACTATCCTTTCTACAGAGCTCCAGAAATAAAGTAGATAAGTAATCGTACAGAATACGGATAATCGTTAATAAAATGTTGCCGAGTATTAGCCAGTAGCTGATGTAAATTTCGATTGAAATTTTCCGCTATTCGTGACGGCAATTTTCACATGCAGTCCCGAGCCTGTTTGAATGTTCGCACTTAATTTCACGATGATTTCCTCCGCGCGTAAGATAATGAATTATTACGAAACTATGGGCATTAGTTTACTTTAAACATTCTGTCCTCGCCACTTAATAAAATTCTCCTATTTTTCTCACGTGTAAGACGTAGACGAGGAGGCAATGTAGAATCGATTCTGTGATAAATTGTCTGCAAATATGTAACGCAAATGAAGCTTTTATTTTTTTTTAGTGAATTTCTTAAATGTATATAAGATTTTTAAAAATTTTTCCTATTTATGTAGTGTTAAAGGAATATATTATATGTTATATATGAAAGTGATTTTTTTTTTTTTTTTTTTTTTTTTTTTTGATGAATCATAATTGTTATGGAATAGTAATTGTTATCTAGGGCTTTAAAAACTTCTATAATAAATAAGCTATTTTGTACGTGTACGATTAAACATAAGGAAATTGAGAATTAAATGAAAAGTACCTCTCTCTCTCTCTCTCTCTCTCTCTCTCTCTCTCTATATATATATATATATCCACGAGCTTGTGTGCCAACGTACGAATGCTTTTATGTGATTGTGTATTGGAGTGCGCGCGCCCGCGATCATGTACGCGTATTACATTTAACGTCAAGGGTTGAAATATTTGAATTTGAGAATATTTTCGAACAATATATTTCTTATACTATATTGATTCAGTCCTAATTTCAACGTCGTTTCAACTAAATCATCAATTCGTTTATTAAGACTTAACGAGCACATCGACAATGTATATGTTTTCACATATTTGGTCGCAATGACGTTCAACTAGAAAAATTTGTAAAACCAGTCGTTGAACAATTGGTGCATTTGCCTTCAGTTTCACCGGAGAATTTACGTCCGTTGCTTTAACTCGGTCATTAAAATGGGAGGGGGTGCGAACAATCGTACTCATACTTACAGAATCGATTCTACAGTCCTCCTTAGAGGTCTCCTTAAATCTATCCTCAAAAAAAGTTTCTGCTCGGGATTCGCGTGTAAATCGCCTATTTCCTCTTCCGCTTGCTTAG